AAAAAAAAAAAGAAAAAGGAAGTTGGTTTCTGGCTCCCAAACCCATAGCAGATATACAGTATACTTTTTGGAGCTTGCTCGTGATTTGATTTGGTCCCAGCACTGTGATCAAGTGTGGGTCAACTTTTTAAAATTCTCAGCATCTCAATTACTTCATCTGTAAAATGGAGATAATATTTACTATATAGGTTGTAGATGGACACAAAGCATTTATTAGTGTCTGACACATGGTAAGGTCTTAGTTATTGAGATATAGAGATCGCTATATCGCTATGTATTGAGATTGCTATTACTAATATTAGCCAGACTTCTTTCTGTTACTTCAGGCTCTGTGTTACCAAGCAATTAATAGCGTCTGCTTCTCATTATTGTATATTCCTTTTTACTGTCCACTTCCCTAAGCATTGTGAACCTATTTTTCCAACATACCTTTCCTTTAGCTATTCCTTTATTTGAAGTGCCTCATTTTCTTTTCTCTGCTATTCAGAGTTTTACTATTTTCTTAAGATTTCCACATTCTCGGGGCGCCTGGGTGGCTCAGTCGTTAAGCGTCTGCCTTCAGCTCAGGTCATGATCCCAGGGTCCTGGGATCAGGCCCCGCATCGGGCTCCCTGCTCGGCGGGGAGTCTGCTTCTCCCTCTGCCCCTGCCTCTCCCCCGGCTTGTGCTCTCTCTGTCTCTCTCTCTGTGTCAAATGAATAAATAAAATCTTTGAAAAAAAAAAAAAAAGATTTCCACATTCTCTGAAATATTCTTGTAATTATTTTAGCTGTGTTAATCTTTTCATTTCTGAACTCTTATAGAACTTCTCTAATTGTACTTTATTTCTAAGTTTTACCTTCCCTGTTTTTCAAATTTATTTTAGTGATGAGCATATAATATTTGCTCAGTAAATGTTTATAATTTCTTGAATATAGTATTTGGCAGACGTTATTGAAGAAGTCTTATGTGTCAGTGCTGGGCACACTTCAGTACTTGGGGCATCAGGATGGATAAGCCCTAGTTCCTACCCTCAAGTAATTCATAATATAGTAGATAAACTATAGCTTATATTTATATAGCACAGCAGTTCTTAACCTCTCTTCTGCTTTCACATCATTCATAATATGTGCAAGTCACTTTCATCATTAATATCTCATTATACACATTCACTAGGGAAGCATTTCCCTCCAGCATTGAGGCTTACTTATTTATAATATTTAAAAATTTTTAAAAGCTCTTCCTCATGTTCTCTCTTATTTAAGTGTCCTAACAAATAGATGAGGTGGGAATTAATGTAGCCATGAATGGAAAGAAAATTGAGATCTAGAGATGCAGATGTTACAGTCCTACCTTTTAAGTGTGAAAAAAATGAGTCTCAAAGAGCTTTTTTAGACTCAAATGGAAAGTTAACAGTAGAGTTGGGACTTAGATTACCTAAATACTGAAACTGAGTTTAGCAATTGAATAAGAAGTTCCTGACGCTAAGCATTGACTTATATTTCTTATTTTAAACTTTATGTTATAGGAATCTTTACATAAATACAAAAAAAAGGAGTATCATGGATCCCCGTATATCAGTCAACCAACTTCAACAATTATCAACATTTTGCTAATGCTGTTTTATATATCCTCATACTACTTTTTTTCTTTTAAGAGTATTTTAAAGCAAATTCTAATGATATTCTACCCATAAATATTTCAAGATGAACACTGACTTTAAATTTTGTTGAATATAGCTATGGAGACTACATTAATATTTTTAAAATGCCTTAATTCTCGGGGC